TATCTATCTATCTATCTATCTATCTATCTATCTATCTATCTATCTATCTATCTATCTATCTATCTATCTATCTATCTATCTATCTATCTATCTTCACTGATCATAAATAACCATAACTAAGCCTTAAAGAAGTTTATTTCCTTAAAAATAGTTTGCATATTGATCTAAATATTTCAAAAATCCTCAACATTTTTAACCCCCCTGCTGGTCAGAATGAAAACTTAAAACTGGCCTAGTGACTCATTTTGAGCAGCAGGTTAAATGGCTGATTTTGTCCACACAAGAAGCATGTTACGGTTAACCTATTATTATTGGACTTAACTTATTAACTTAAATTATAACAAAAACATGCAGCATGACAAAGACAAGTCAGTTATTAGATATTCAGTGTTTATCTTGGAGCTGAACTAGAACAGATGCTCTCACTGAGGTCAAATGATTCTTGAATTTAATGGAGAACAAATGCTGTTTGATACAATATTAGACAGCTAAATTTTATTTTAGCAAGAGTCTGTGAGACGTCTGTTCATGGAGGTTATTTATGATCAGCTTCAAGCAGAACTTTTGCACAAAGAGTTGTATTGTTTTCTCAAATGTTCTTGTTTGAAATGATTTCTTTGTTGGAAAAATTACCCTTTCCAACAAACAAAACAAAATAAAACACCATTTGTGTCAAGTTTTTAGCTTTGTTTTTTTTACAAGCTGCCCAAATCTTGCCAAAAAAAAAAAAAAAAAACTTCAAAAGAGAATGCAGAAGAATTTTCTTATGTCCAATTATTTAAAAAAGCTAACATTTAATCAGTCAGCAGCTCTGATGTCCGTTGACTCACTCCTTGTTCTGTCAAAATCTGTGTCCATCAGCTTCTCACCTCCAGTCAGCTCAGAGTTAAAAAAAAAAACACATTCAGACTTGTCCATAACTAAACATAGCCTCATTGTGGAAGATAGACAGACAGGTTTTATTTAAAGTCCAGAACTGACGTCACCGTCATTTGAGCTGGAATCCTTCCAACAGTTTGAAAAAAAAAAAGAAAGGTTAATCAAACCACATTGTTAAAGCAGTTTATCAGAATGAGAGATAAGTAATATTACACCATAACTCCGAAACCATTTTGCACGATTATGTAATAAAAAATCAAGAAAAAAACACGTTTTCATCAATGTTTATAATTTTAAATGCATTATGTCATACAGTGAGCCCTTGTGGATCATAAAACATCAGATTTTCTACAAAAAAGGGTGTAATTTCATTATACAGTAACTGCTACAAAGAATAAATACAATACTCATAATTGTCTTTAACCCTTGTTTAATAATGTAGACAAATTTCATACAAAATGCTAAAATAAACAAACTGGCAAGTTGTATGGTCACAAGCCCTGAACATTAAAGTTTTGGGTAATTGAGAAGCACTGTTTTTCATACAAATACGTATTTTGACAATTCAATTTCTCTAATAAAACAGTAGCTTTGTTAATATATGTAAAAAATACAATGATTTAAAAAAACAAAACGATAAATTATGAATCTTACTGAAATTTACTTAAAGGAACAGTGTGTAGGATTTTGTCAATTCTTTTAGCTGAAATTGAGATAATCATTAATGACAATAATAAAAAACATGTCTAATCATTGCAGACAAAGACTTTGTTTTATTATTTTTACCTTATAAAAAGCTGTTTATATCTCCATGGTCGCGGGTCTCCACACAGGCAGCCGCCATCTTGTCTACGAAGGC